CTCTCAAAGAATTGAGGCCAGAAAGCTCATCACCGGTTTATTAGACTCAACATGCTGCAACTTCTAAAGGGGGGCTTAAAATTATACAACAGGAGAACATAGCTCTAATTCAGGGTCCCAGAATGCTGTGTGAGAGTACAAGAGGTGGGCAGGGAAAGGATAGGGAGTCCTATGAGTTCTGTTGGGAAAGGAGATGGCATGGACCCACTTCTCCCCAGAAGCCTTTAGGGAGAGGAAGAATACAAGCCTGAGCTAGAGCAAGATGCCTGTCCTCTTGCACAGGTGTCTGTTTCCCAGTCACATGGACATGGTTACTGAAGAGCGCAGATCTTCCCTAGGGCTGCCTAGCAGCTGAAGCTGTCTCTGCCCTCCCAGATCCAGGTTGGTAGCTTAGCGAGGATGAGATCAAAGTTGGGCCAAACCTTTGGGGTCCGTGGATGTGGAGTCCTGTTGGGAAGGCTCAGGGACAGGAGGCCTTTGTCCCATATGCTGGTCAAGAGTGTCCACCACCTGCTCAGTCAGAGCAGAGATGGAGCAAGGCCGAAGAGGCTGGACAGCCTGTGGTAACTCTGCCCCTTCTCCCAGAGTTGGTCCTTCACCTGATGGAGGGCTGGGTGGCTGATCCTGGGAGTAGTGACTAGGTGGGGGAGGGATTTGGCCCAAGACAAGGGCAAGGGTCACAGGCCATCTACTTGAGGGATGCCTTGGAGTACGCACCTTGTCGAACTTCTTATGGCTGTAGAGCTTGTTTTTGTTCATGAAAGTTAATAGAATCCAGTCACACAGAAAGGAGCCCTGGAATCAGCAGGTTCGAGTGGGTAAAGGCATACCAAACACTCCCTACCTGACCCAGACCCCCCCCCCCCCCCCGCAAGGGGATTTGGATTTCTTACCACTCCGATGGAGGTCAGAGCAGTGGCCAGATTGATGATGGTGGGAATGAGACTGAATTTCCCTGCCTGTAGAGAACACACTTGCATTTAGTTAGACCTTCAGCACAAGCTGCTTGTGGCAGAAGTGGAGCTTGAGGGTGGGATGCTGTAAGGGACACGGAGCTAGCTCAGCACAGACCTCGGTGGAACCCTTCAGCTGTGAGTACCTGTCCATGCACAATAACATCGATCCGAATCCCATAGGCTTTGATGAGAGTTCGAGTGGTGGTGGTGCCATTCACCTTGTAATACTTGGCAAACCTAGGGCCGAGCAAACCAAAGTGGTGTGGAAGCTGTCAGCCTGAGGACTGTGACACTTGTGCACACTCATCTTCCTCTCTTTAGGACCACTTCCAGTGGAACTATAGTCAAAGCAGCCACCACTGTCTACGTCATGGAACCAGACATTCAGAGAACAATGTACCTGAAGTTATAGCCTGAGGAGGCAGGGTCATACTTGGGGTCGAGCCTCCGGAAAGAATATTTGGGGTTGCACTCTGATTCAGACAAATCCAGGTCACAGTTCCAGTTGATGATGACTCCAATGACACCACCCTGCAGAAAAGTTGAGCCGAGGAGGGTTGGAGAGCATAGAGCAGAAAAACCTCAAGGGGTAGGGTTCAGCTCAGAGTCAAGGGTCCAGGGAACGAGTGACTTTCTGGCTTTGGAGGCATAGTGAGGTACTAGCACCAGTCATGGGACCAGGTGTCAATAATTAAGCAGGTGCCTGCCACAGACGGTGATCACATTTCTCCCCTCTGCCTAAACACAGCTAAAGCTGGCCAAAACAAAGAAGGTACATCTAGATGCAGTAAAACCCTTCCTGGGTTGCCAGATGCTGACACCCAGCTTCTCTGTCCCTCACCTTGTGTGCTAGTTCTGTGAAATTCTCTCCTGCCTGCTCTACAATGAAGCCCAGCCTGAAGATGGGACAGTATGGGTCAGAGTCCTGATCAAACGTGCAATGCTTCAGGTAGTCACTCTTCTGGCTTGCAATGTTGCCCCTAAGGAGTAGCAAAAGACACAGACCTGTACTCTAAACACCTGGCACCCAGCACATGCCTATACACTGGCCGGACATTTGATGTTACTCTTTCCCTCAGACTCACTTGGAGAACTTGAACTTGGGGTAGTGGATGCTGTTCTTGATGAGGATGGTGAAATTTGGGGCCATTTTGCCCAGAAAATGGCTGCAAAGTTACGGACAGTGTTTTAGTCTCTTTTTCCCCAAAGCCCAGGGGAAAGGAGGACATGGTCTCCCTCCTCCTCCCAGTTAATCTGATCTTCATCAGTAAGGAGAAAGAAGACTGCCAATAGGGTCTGCGGTTCCTGCATACTTTTCAGAAGTTCCATCCTCCACTGGGCACCATGCTGACACCTCGCAGGTCTTGGAGTCCCCATGATAATAGGGCACACAGTGACCTGTCCGAATCCCTACAGGACACACACTGGTTAATCTGCTGAGGTCAGTGCTAACCCCGCCTTCCCCACTGTCCCTGGTACACACTGACCATTGCCTTGCATGTCCAGCTGTCCGGCCACACAGTCGTCATCTGAACCGCAGGTAGAACTGTGAACCCTCATGCTCTAGAGTGGAGATTGTAGGTCAGAGGGTAGACTCTGTAACTGGCCTAGGTTTACCCAGACCACCCTTAACCCGCCTCACCTCTGGGCATGTTCCCAGGGTCTGGGAAGGGGTAACCTCGATCCTGGTGATGATGCTGACTACACTGCCCCCCTGGGTGCAGAAATAAAGGCACGGTGGGCCTGTCAGCTCACTCAGACCAGTCACACCGGAGAGGAACATCGGGCCTGGGGCAGGAAGCGCCGCACCTCCGGGGGCTTTACATATTCCTCCACGTCCCACACTTTGTGTTCCGACATGGTGATCCCCTTGACTTTGGTGATGATGGAGCTCTCCGGACCGGTCTCGCTGTCCTGGTAGCTTTTCTGCACGATGAAGACGTACCTGTGGGACAGGGCGGTGCCGGCTCCGGAGGCAACCCTGGAGAGACCAGGATATCCCTCTCCTGAAGCCCTAAGGGCGCCCGCGCAAGCCCCCAGCTGAGACTCCCCTTCCGCCCGATTGCCCACTGTGCCCCGGCCCGCGCACCACACGAAGTAAAGCAGAATGAGCAGCTGCACCATGCGGTGCACGAATCCCAGGCGCCGATTCCGCACCACGATCACCTTGGGCGTCTCGTAGTCCCAGAACGCGGACCAGCAGCCCCGGGCCAAGCGCCGGACCATGGCCGCCCCCGCGGGAAGCCGGGTCTGTGCAGCGGCCATGGCCCAAGGAACTCGGTCCACCAGAGCTGCTGGAACACCTCACACCCTCGGCTCGAGTGGGCAGGCTGGGGGTGTGGCCTCGCTCCCCGCCCACTGTGACTGTAGCAATCTAGTCCCTTTTCAAAGCTGATGGAGTTGTATCTTCTGGTCTCCCTGAAGGCTGCAGGTGCGGCCGGGTGCGGCTCAGAGTGCAGCCTGGCGGTGCAGTTGGTGGATCACAACTCTAGTTTGGTGGCAAGGAGGGCGGAGAGGCCAGGCCAGCCAGGAGAGACCGAGACCAAGAGAAGCTCCACACTGGGAGAGTACAACCCTCATCACTTGAGGCTCAGAAAAGGCTCAGGGACTGAGGGCAAGCACCCCAGGTTTCTCATAACAGACACACAAGGGCGCAAGCTCCAACCCTCATTTCTCCATGGAACTGCCCATTGCGCTATTAATTCCGTTTCCAACCCCCACAACCCCTTGCAAATTGTTTCCTGGTAACTGATTAGGTTTCTCTTGCGCCCAGGTTATTTGAAACAAATATCAAACATCTAAATATGTCTCAGACAGATGATTTTAAGCTGTCTTTTATGGGAATAAGATGCGTTTAGCGTAGGAACAATCCAATGAGCGTAGTACATGCTGTACATTGTGTAACACAAAACACGTTCTCCCACCTCAAAATAAACCCCTATCCGTGAAGCCGCTATTCTTGTTCCCCTTCCTTATCCCACAGTCGTCTTCCTATCTCAAAGGGTTTTTCTTTGAAATATGATACCTACTTTATCATGTTTTCAAGATCCACACACATGTGGTCATCTTTGCTACTATTTCAAAGAAAGGCCAGAGCAATTCCATCCTTGGTAAGCCTGGATATCTCTTTGCTGTTGCTAATAGTACCGTTAAATTGCATATTTGAACGGTTTGATTAAATCTGAACAGTGCCTAGGGAGCAAAGGCAATCTAATTCAGAACAACCGAATGCATAATTTTCGGGAATATTTTGTAACAGAAGGCTGGGTCTTAGCCCATCTCAGACTGTCAGTTGTCCAGATCCCTTCCAGACAGGATCTCCCCACCGGTAATCACCAAGCTGATTACATCTTTCCTGTTTTCCACCAAAGACCTCCATAGATCTTGGTGCCATTATTTGTGAGTCCTCCTTTCTTAGCTAAATCCTGGTTTAATTTGCCTGAGGCTGAACATGCTTTATACAAAACCAGTAATCCCACCACTTGGGAGGTGGAGACAGGAGGGTTCTAAGTAGTCAATCCTAGTCAATCCTAAAGAGATAACAAGGAGTGCTGGGACTATACATCAGGATAGCTCAGTGGTGGAACAACTTGCCTAGAACTTGTGAGCCCCTGGGTTCAGTCTCCACGCCCCCACCCAAAGGAAAAATCTCAAGTGAACAAACAGCCCACACACTGTAGAACAGACAGAAAGGTAGATAAGTGAGAACAAACTGAGACTATTATCAGGAGGTGGAGTCAGCATCAGACACGAGCACCTGACAGTGGAGACCTGGGAGAGGAGAAAGGGGACTCTAGGTGCCTAAGGAGTTGTGGTCCTGGGGAGGGGTGGCCCACAAGGAGCCAGTGTCCTACATTGCCAGGCAGGGATGTGTTTGGCTATTAGTAGCTAGTCCTGATTTTTTGGAACAGAAGTAAAAAGCAAGGAAAGTGTGGTGGGAGGCCATGTCCCATGTATCTCTATATCCTGTGCAGAGGGCGGGGTAGGAAGCAGAAGTGGAGTGGAATAGAGTTACAGCTCAGAGACTAGAGGCCAAGTTCCTTGGCTAACCTGTAACCCTCTACTTCAAGGCTGACGTCTGCTCGGAAACTGCAGTTTGGCTGCTCTCACAGCACAGAGGAGCGAGTGGACCTGAGGCAAGGAGGTAGGGCCACTGGGTACCCTTTCTACTCCCAGGAGTAAATCAGATTAGTCTATCCTGGGTGGGTGGGTGCTACCTGACAGGAAACGGCATAGTTTCTGGGTCTACCCAGCAGTTGCAATCATCCCTTTCCCTCAAAACAGAGTGAAAAGTTAATTGCAAAATGGCTTCTTCTGAGACAGTGCACAGCCTGGAAAACCCCTGCTTTGTACAAGATGAAATAACTTAGAGTAGGGTGTAGCCTGATCTCAACAGTCACCACAAAGCCCTCCATACACAACAGAACACATCTTCCCATTAAACTGCCTTTCTAGGCCCTGACACCACTCTTCTCTATGGAGCTGATGACTCCAAGCCCTTATGAAAGTGGAGTCCAACAGGGTTTGGCCTTTTGTGACTAGCTGATTTACTTAACATGGTGCACTCAGGGATTTCTTGTGCAGTAATCCTTTGTGAACAGTGGCAATCAGTGATCCTTTAATACAGAGCTTCTCATGGGCAATAACAGTGTTCTTGGGCTGTGTGAGGTCTATCCTGCCCAACTTGGAAACAGGGCTTGTGACCTTGTCAGAACTTAAAGGAATAGTTGAGGCTTAAAAACAAGAATCTTAACCTGGTTTCAAGCACAAAAAGAACACAGCAAGTTTGAGAGTCAAAAGTGTTCAGGTTGTGGATCAATTTATAACATATGAGGCCTATTAAGCTATATGGAAAGAACACTTGCTGAGTTTGTACAATAGCTGTGGATCTGTTCCCTTGACTGGGACAATGCTATGTGCACCTAAGCACCTGGTGGCAAAGGGCATCTCGGACCCTTGACTTGCTGAGAAGGAAACAGGAGTGGCTTCTTTCTACCTTAGCAGTCAGTCCCATTCCTGTGGCTGGTACAGTCAACCACAGGCAGTGACTGGGAAGAGGAGAAGAAGGAGGCCAGTGGTCAGCATGGGGCACAGGGGTGTCTCACATTACTAACAAGAAGTACAACTGGTCTCGAATTGGAAGAGTAAATAAAAACCCTGAGAGCTGAGGCCGGAGAATTGGCTGAGCAGATAGGAGCACTTATCCTTCCCAGCGTCTACCACTCCACCTGGCTTTATTTTTATTTATATTTTTTATTTTAAATATATACATATATTTATGTGTGTAGGTGTTTTAAACTGCATCTGTGTATGTGTACCATGTGTATGCCTACTGCCTGCAGAGACCAGAATGGGCATGGAGTCCCCTGGAACTAGAATTACAGACAGTTGTGAGCCATCATGTGGGTGCTGGGAACTGAACTCACATCTTCTGAAAGAGCAGCAAGTGCTCCTTAACTGCAGAGCCATATCTCCAGCACCCCGTTTTTATATATTTTATTTATTTTGTGTGCATATATATGGAGGAGGAGCTTGTATGGAGATCTGAGGACAACGTGTGGGAAATGGTTCTCTCCTCCCGCCATGTGGGTCCTGGGGATCAAACTCAAGTCATCAGGCAGGAGCCTTTACCTGCTGAGTTGTCTCAGAATCCCCACATCTGGCCTTTTCTACATGAACTCTGGGATTTAACTCAGGTCCTCATAATTGCAAAGCAATCACTTTACTGACAGAGCTATCTTCTCAGCCTCACAGTACTGCTGTTTTTTTTCTAAATGTTTTATTTTTGATTGTGTATGTGTGATTGTATCTGTGGATCTGTTTATATGTATACAGGTATCCAAGAGGTTCAGAAGAATTACCTGATGTGGGTGCTAGGAACCAAACTTGGGTCCTCTGCAAAAGCAGCAAGCACTCTTTACTGAACTATTTCTCCAGCCCCACAGGTCTGATTTTTATAGAATAGGCTGGATCTATATATTTTGTTTCTCAGGACCAAAGATTGTTTCTCTAGGAGACATGAAACATTGTGGAAACATTATGGACAATAGGCTGGACCTGTATATTTTGTTTCTCAGGACCAAAGATTGTTTCTCTAGGAGACATGAAACATTGTGGAAACATTGCTGACAGTGGTTACTCTGTGAACCCTAACAAGATAAAGCCAACAGGTTATGAAGAAAGGGCTCTTTTTCACACTGCCTGATGGCAGCCATCTCTGCTAGGGTCATCAGCTCGCCTAGAGTATCCTACAAACTCATACACAGTGTTGAAACACAGAGGAAAGTTATTAATCATGTAGTCAAAGATGTAGTTCCAGAGCTGAAACTAGTGATTGGTGCAAATCATTAATCCCATTACTCTGCAGGAGGCAGAGACAATCATATCTCTGTGAGTTCAAGGCTAGCCTGGACTGCATAGTGAATTCCAGGCCAGCCAGGGCTGCAGTGTGAAAGCCTGTCTCAAATAAATTAATAAACAAACAAATAAATTACTGTTTCAAGAAGGGGAGAAGAAGAAAAATCATTGTTTCAACCTGTCAGATATAATTCTCAGTTTTGTCTTTAAAATTTTCTTTCTGTGGCTGGAAAAAAAATGGCTCAATAGGTAAAGCATTTGAGGGCACTTGGGAGCACAAACCTGAGTTGATCCCTGTAACCCATATGGTGAAAGAAGAGAATTGACTTCACAAAAATTATCCTTTGACCTTCACATACGCACTAAATTAAAAAATAAATGAAATAAGTTTTCATGCCCTTGAACCTCCAGGAACATACCCATAGTTTACTAGAACACATCTGTTCCTAGTGGAGTGCTGTCCGTTCCAAATAAACGCCAATGTTTTTTGGAGGGTTTTTGAGGTTTATCTGTTTGTTTGTTTGTTTGTTTGTTTGTTTGTTTTTGAGATAGAGTAGCACTGTGTAGCCATGGCTGTTCTGGAACTCCCTATGTAAGCTATGTAGACCAGGCTAGCCTTAAAGAGATCTGCCTCTGCCTCTTGAGGGCTAGGATTAAAGCCGTGTGCCTCCTTGTCCAGCCCAGTACTTCTAATAAGGAATCTACAATGAAAATGGTAAAAACGCAGAATGTAAGAGCCACGGCAGCTGTAAGACTCAACAATTCTAAGAAGGGAAATCATGGGTGGGGAGGTGGGAGTGGGAGGGTGGGTGGGGCATATCCTCATAGAAGCAGGAGGAGGGGGGATGGGATAGGGGGTTCCTGGGTAGGGGGGAAATGGGGAAAGGGGATTACATCTGAAATGTAAATAAAATATCCGATTAAAAAAAGTAAAAAAGAAAAAAGAAAGTTCAGAAAACATACAAGACTTAGGACACTTAGAAGGTTACAAGACTTATAAGGCTCCTTCCCAAAGTTATATAAGTAGTAAATAATTACTAGGAAAGAGACTTTCTATGGAGTAGCCAGCAAGTTGGACAGGGAGTTCCAGGCATACAGAATTCACAAGTTATCCCCGATGCTGGCATGGCCTTTTGGTGATTTATCTGCCTTTGGTGATCTATCACCCATAGTCCTATAAATAACCCAAATAAACTCATCAATTCACTAATTAAAAAAACAAACAAAACAAAACAAACGAACAAACAAAAAACCCACAAGGCTCACAAATAATAAAAAGAGGGCACTTAACCTGCTGGGCTTTGGCTGTGGGAGTGTGTTCATTTCATTTTATTTTTTTTTTTTTTTTTTTCAGAGCTGAGGACCGAACCCAGGGCCTTGCGCTTGCTAGGCAAGCGCTCTACCACTGAGCTAAATCCCCAACCCCGAGTGTGTGCATTTCAAACTTCTGTGGCACGTAAAACAAAATGATGTACTCTTTTAAATGTGGATTTTAGAAGAGGATGTGTTCAGTCCTTGTAATAAGCCTTTTTACCACTGGCTTTTTATCTTTTTTTATTCCTTTCTTTCTCCTTCATCTCCTCTTCTTTTTTTTCTCTTCCTCTTTCTTTTTTAGTGCAGATCAAAATAGTACTAGGTCTTCAGGCTGGCTCCACAGTGGGGTTTCCTCTGGTAGGTGGTGACTATGCTAAGTTCAAGATCCGTGGAGCTATGCACTTTAAATGGTGCATGACACTTGTTACATGAGAATGTTGCCTGAAAGAGAAACGGAATCCAAATTGCCCCTTCCATAGCAGTTTCTTGAGCAGCAAACACTCAAGGGGGTGGAGACTGACAGTACAGCACCTGGGATCAGAATCTGGTTGTTCACAAACACGGTTCAGGGGCTGCCTCTGGCCTCAGGGAGGCTCTTCCTGAAACTTCATAGTATGACATTACAAGTAGTCATATTGGATGTATTTGTATATTTTCTGTTAGATTGTAACAAGGGGAGAATTATTCCATTCTGCTCACAGCATTGGGAAGATAGGAAAGATGTTCTCTGGCTTGTCCCATGAACACACCACACTTTGCAAACTCACGGTAGCCTCTGGCATGAGAACAACCGTCTCTCACAGATACCGGTGATAGCTCAGCGTGGAATACTTTAAAAGTAACTCGGAAGATTCAAAGGTAAAGAGGACATAGCTACATGTGGATGGAGAGGGAGACACTATGTTTCATTGCATGAGGGCAGAGCAGCTGCCACATGTTACAGCAGCTGGATGTGAGGCGGGCAGGGGAAGGGAAAAGACATATCCCAAAGTCCCAACATCCTGTACTCGGACTCTGCCAGGCTATCTGGTAACCTTTCCCCTTAGCTCTTCACTGCTTATGCCAGACATACTTGGACCAGGCCGAGCTCATTAACTGCTTCTTGAGAGGAGTAGACACTGTTCTTAGAAACACAGGAAATCCAGTCCACCCACAGCCTGTGGATCATTCAGCATTTAGAGCATACCAAAAGAAAAACACAGGGACCGTGACCCATGACAAGAACAGACTGAGCAGAAAGAGTTCAGGAGAGACTCCTGTAACAGCTGCTGCATGCGAGGAAGCCACTCTGAAGGTCTTAGCAGCTCTGTGGAGGCAAAAACCGAGGGAGAGTGTACTCTTCTGATGTTACACTCCTTAATGTTTGGCCTCTTTCCTGGCTCTGCCTTTCACAGAGAATCTAATCCATTTGTAATTAGGTTCAGTGGGAGGAAGGGATGTTGAAAGTCCAGGGTCAAGCGAGAGATACAGCCTGGTCAGTAAAGTGTTTGCTGTAGAAACATGAGGATCTGTGCTCCATCCCTAGAACCCACATAAAGAAGCCCAGTGTGGGCCTGGAGGTGGTGATGCATGACTTTATTCCCAGCACTGGGGAGGCAAGGCAGAGGCAGGCAGTTCTCTATGAGTTCGAGGCCAGGCTGGTCTGCAGCAGATGGAGCTCTAGGATAGCCAGGGCCATGCAGAGAAACCCTGTCTCGAAAAACCAAAAAAAAAAAAGAAAGAAAGAAAGAAAGAAAAAGAACCACCCCCACCCCCCCCAAAAAAAAAGAAAAAAAGAAAAGCCACAGACTGAGCTTCCAGCTACAGCCTTCTGGAAAAAAAGTTAAACTACAGAAACAGAAAAAGAGAAAACCCAGCAATTGCCTTGCTGGGCTGGGGGAGGATGAACATGGACAACAGGCAATTCTGCATGATGCAACAGTGGACATGCCGTTTCTATTTGTCCAGTTCTGAAACATGTGGCTGACAAGTCAAGGCCCATTGTAAACTTTGAATTTGGGCAAAAGTGCCCCTGTACGTTCATCAGTGTAGCTGCCCCCCCACACTAGTGTGACACATTACCAAAGAGAAAAGGGGACTGAGGAAGAAAGTAGATTGGTAAGAACTAGAAATCTGGGCTGCAGAGAGGCTCAGAAGTTAAGAGCACTAGCTGCTCGCCAGAGGTCCTGAGTTCAATTCCCAGCAACCACATAGTGGCTCACAAACCATCTGTAATGGGATTCGATGCCATCTCCGGGTGTTTCTGAAGACATGGTACTCATATACATAAAATAAATAACTAAATTTAAAAGAAAGAACTAGAAATCTACTGTCTTTACCATTTAGGGGTTACCTTTATTTTATTTCAGATGGTTGTGAGCCACCATGTAGTTGCTGGGAATTGAACTCAGGACCTCTGGAAAAGCAGTCAGTGCTCTTAGCCACTGAGCCATCTCTCCAGAAGTATTTATTTATTTTTATTCGATTTATGTGCTCCAGAATACATTTATGTGTTCCATTTGTATGCTAGTACCCAAGGAGATCAGTAAAGAGTGTTGGATCTCCTGCAACTGGATTTACAAATGACTGTGAGCTGCTCTGTGGGTGCTGGAAATTGAATCTGGATCCTCTGCAAGGACAAGTTCTCTTAACCACCAAGCCCTATCTCTAGCCGTTTGTTTATTTGTTTGTTTGTTTGTTTGTTTTGAGGCAGAGTCTTACTATGTAGCTCTGATTGGTCTGAAGCTCACAGAGATCCTCCTGCTGCCACTTCCCAAGTGGTGGAGTTAAAGATGTGTGCTTGGTTGAGAGAGAGAGAGAGAGAGAGAGAGAGAGAGAGAGAGAGAGAGAGAGAGAGAGAGGATCCTCACATAGTCCAAGCTGGCCTCGAAGTTGCTATTTAGCTAAAAAAACTGATGCTGACCATCATGCCTTTACTTCCCAGTGTTGGGAGTACAGTCATGTATCATCTTGCCATGTTTATGCACTGATAGGGGAATCAAACTCTATGTGCAAGGAAATTAGTCTACTTTGCCTTGTGCACACTTTTTTTTATGTAAACCCAAAGCTGCTCATAAAAAATAACTATTTATGGGTGCTGGAGAGACAGCTCAGAATTTAAGAGCACTTCTAGAGGTTCTGAGTTCAGTTCCCAAGCAACCACACAATGGCTCATAGCCATCTACAATGAGGTCTGGTGCCCTCTTCTGGCCTGCAGGCATACATGCAGGCAGAACACTACATAAAAAATGAATAAGCCTTTCCTGGAACTCTGTAGACCAGGCTGGCCTCGAACTCAGAAATCTGCCTGCCTCTGCCTCCCAAGTGCTGAGTTTAAAGGCGTATGCCACCACTGCCCAGCAAATAAGCCTTTAAAAAAATAGAAAAACAAAAAAATTACAAAAAATTAATTGTTTATAAAAGCTATTTTATAAGAGAAAGTACTGGGGAGGGAAGGGGATATTTTACTGCATGCCAAGGGCAATGCTTATTCCATAAAACCCTGACAGGCCCAACAGGAGATGTCTGTCACGGTGTGGACACTGTTGCTGCTGTTGCTGCTGCTCTGGGCTGTGCCCACATTCCAAGCTAAGAACATGAAGGTGGTTTCAGGCTACAAGGTGAGCTCAGGCTGTGCCCTCCCATGCATGTCTATTAGAAGGCTGGAGACAGGGTGGGGAATCCAGGACCTCGATGGAGCAGAGTTAACAGGGGCCTGGAGCATCTAGGCAGGCCCAGTGGGGAGGGACTCGAGAACACAGACAGTGAGTGGCACAATCATAAAGGTATCTGAGGGTCTATATCTCGTTGCTACACCTAACCTTCATGCAACCCCATTTTAGTGAAGTCCTAAAGACACGGCACACTGGGAGAATGTTCCAGAAGGCAGTGTACAAGGACTCTCCTAGGGTCTCCCCGACTCCTTTCTGTGCAATGTCATATCTCTTGTTGCATTTGCGCACACCCCAAATCACTCAATTCTGTGTCCTGTTGATCTGTGAGTCCTTTCTCCTCTGCCTTCTCTCCTGTGTGCCCTGCTGTGCAGGATTTGCCTGCAGTCTTTCTTGCCCATATTCCCTGTTCTGACACTTGTCTCTTCTATCTTCTATATCTCAGCTGAACTTCTGGACACCTGGCCTATGACAGACACTTTTTCTTTTCTTTTTCTTTTTTGGCTTTTTTCGAGGCAGGGTTTCTCTGTGTAGCCTTGTGACCTGACCTGCGGGTCCTAGTTATTCGTGGGGGCGAGGAGGACCACAACCTGAAAAAGAACAGGCGAGAGAGAAGAACGGACTCAAGGAAGCAATTGCTTGTCAAGAGTCATCTATTTGAACACCAAGTGCTTTTTTATAGTATGCTTTACAAGGGGAGGGGATAAGAGGGGCCAGGTGGTGGAAAAGTACAGAATCTTCATGGCCTGTGCCCTGAAACATTTCATGGTCTACACGGTACACTGCCTTGAATTATGGTCTACCTGCTATTCTTCAGAAGATATGGTACACTGCTTTGAGTTATGGTCTCCCTGCTTTCCTCAGAAGATACGGTACATTGCCTTGAATCTATCTGCAGCTGCCAAGCAGGATCTTGCGGTTACCAAGCTGCAGGGGACATTGTGCAGGTGGGGAAAGGTAGGGGGTGAGGGTAAGGGTGAGGATCCTGGCTTCTGGCAGCCTTGGCTGTCCTGGAACTCACTCTATAGCCCAGGCTAGGCTCGATCTCAGAGATCCACCTGCCTCTGCCCCCCGAGTGTTGGGATTAAAGAGGTGCACTGCTATGGTCAGGCTCACATGCTCTCTTTCACTCTCCCCACTTCTTGTCTTCCCCTTTTCCCAGGTCAGACAACTCATCTTGAGTTGAAGGGAGGTTAATAGAAGAAAGCTGGAGTGGTTAGAGTCAATGTCTAAACCGAGAAGGCCCCCTGGGAACTGGGTCTACTGCTGCCTTGAAGCAGGTGAACAAAACGCGGATGTTTCAGGGGATCGGAGAGATGTGTCGGTACAATTCTGAGTGTCAGAGCGACTGCTGTGTCACCAACAGCTTGAACCCACAGAAATTCTGCACCCCCCAGACCGTGTTTTTGCAATGTGTGTCCTGGAAGAAGGTGAGTGGGGCCCCGAGGGAGGGAAAGAAACCGGCAGAGGACACCTTCTAGCCCCACTCCTACCTGCTTTTGGATGAGGTAGAGGAAACGGGCCCCTTGGGAGGGAGAGAGAAGGGAGTTTCCAGGGGTGGTAGAGGGAAAGGGAGTCCCTGGCAGCAGAAAGTCCCCTGCTCCCTCACAGCCAAACGGGTACCCCTGTGACGTAAGCACAGAATGCCAGAGCAGGTGTTGCGTCAGGACTAGCAGCAGCCTAGACAAATTCTGCTCAGCAAAGACCATCTTCTTGCAGTGTGTGACTTGGCGCAAGGTAAGCATGGAGCAAGGGAACCATGGGCCCATGGGGCAGGATCCCTGGTGAGAGGAGGGGAGGAAGGGCTTCACTGGAGCTAGATGATATCTGAGCATCTCTCTCCAGCCCGAAGGAGACAAATGCCAAAACCACCTTGAATGCTGGACCCTATGCTGCCTCCCACTGAGCGAGAACAGCCCTCCCCACTGCACAAAGCGCACCGGGCTCCTGGCCCTCTGCCTGCCGAAGGTGAGTAGCCCACCCCAATCCCTACCTACCAACAAGCTGCCATAGGGGTGGGGTGAGGGTTATGTGTGAAACCAAATCCCATCAACAGAGGGTACAGCAGCTCCCAGTAGTTAGTGTCCATTTGTCTCTGTGGAGCAGACTTGGAGGAGGGGGGTTCCTGACCAGGCACTGAGCCCTGTGGGTATGAAAACCCTGTTGATCCCACATGGAGAGATCAGAAACTTGGAAGTCAGGAAGCTGGTATTGAAACTACCAGGAGCTGGAGCAGAACTAGTCTTCAGCCCTATAAGAGTGTGTATCTATCTGTACATGTGTGTTATATATACATGTCTGTTCTTTCTCAGTCTCTCTATCTCATAGTTCTGTCTCTGTTTCCCTCTGACTCTGTGTGTGTGTGTGCGCACGCACATGTGTGTGTATGTCTGTGGTGTTTACCAAGGAAAGGTACCATTACAACTCCCAGGCAGAAAGCATCTCCTAGCTTCTCTCCTTCCTACCTCCTTAGCTTTCTGCTGGCTTTTAGTGGATCCTGAGGACCAAAGCTCACAAAACAAGGGCTATGGGAAATAGGGGCTTGTGGGAATAAGCAGCCTAATTGTGTGCCATGGGGGCCGTGTGAGGTTAAGTACACAGTTTGTTGTTAGGCATCATAAATGCCATCTGGTGCACAGGGGTCTACAGCTCCTAAGGTTAACAATATGGCCCCTGTCAGGAGAGCCCAACCTATTGGGTGTGCTTTAGTTTGATCACTACATCAGACATCCTGATACATGGCTACCTCAGGGAACAGTTTGAAAGAGGGCAGTAGTCCCGTTCACAGTGTCTGAGCCCTGGACAATGGTGCTGTGGTCAGTGCTAGAATGAAGCTCATGCAATGTTTGTCTCTCCCTGATCTTTGCTGTCTTGTAGTGAATGAACACGATCTTGTGAGAACTAAAACTGGACTTCAGAGAGATGAGAGTGCTTTGCTCACATCCAGACTCTTTCCTTATTTGGGTTCTGAAAATCTGTAGGAATTAGAGACGTCTGTTGCTTGTTGTTAATGTGAATTCCTTGAGTCCCACACATGAAGCATCCAGGGGGGAAAATATCACAGGATCACTGCTCAGTTACTACACGTAAATAAAAACAACTGATTGACAAGAACCTTGTCTAGCCCATGTTTTTCTATAACAAAAGTATGGAAATCTTTGGAAACGTGAAGACACATTTGGGTCTGCTCAGCACCACTGGGATCAACAGAAGGGTTTGAGATGTTGGTGTCTCTCTTGAAGAAAAAGATTCAAGGACAGGCTGTGGCCCAGCCTGGCCTGCACAGGGCTGTAAGTTCAAACTTCAGTACCACAGAAGAAGACAACTTTTGGTTAACTAGCTTAATATTAAAATATTTATTGCCGGGCAGTGGTGGCACACGCCTTCAATCCCAGCACTTGGGAGGCAGAGGCAGGTGGATTTCTGAGTTCAAGGCCAGCCTGGTCTACAGAGTGAGTTCCAGGACAGCCGGAGCTATACAGAGAAACCCTGTCTCGAAAAACCAAAAAAAAAAAATATTTATTACATCAACCCTATAAAAGTTATAAATGTATAAGTTCAAAATGATGATATGCAATTTTTAATAATTGCTGACATTCCTAGGATATTTTATTTCCAACTTTTTGGCTTCATCATCATCTTTATACTTACAAAATAGCATTTTGGGGCCAACATGCCTCCTCGGTGAGTAAAGGCATTTTCTTGCCGAGACTGATAAACCTGAATTCTATCACTAGGATCCAGAGGTTGTGTAGTCGGTTGGCCTGATGCTGTTTGTATTGTAATGTTAATACTGGTTCCTCAAGAGGGGTTGCCCCTGAAGAACAATTCATCAGGTACTCAGGTGATGTCATGTGAACCTCTCCCCATTGTAACTGGTCAGCAAAAGGCTAGAGCCTGGGGGCTGGTGAGATGGCTCGGCGGTTAAGAGCACTGACTGCTCTTCTAGAGGTCATGAGTTCAGATCCCAGCAACCACATGGTGGCTCACAGCCATCTACAATGAGATCTGGTGCCCTCATATGGGTGTCTAAAGACAGCTACAGTGTACTTACATATAATAAATAAATAAATTAAAAAAAAAAAAAGGTTAAAAGGCTAGAGCCTGTGATTGGGCAGTGGAGGGGAAAGGAGGGACTGGAGGCTCCAGAAGGAGTGGCAGGTAGAGAGGGAAAGAGAGAGGACTGAGGAAGAGGAAGAAGAGGAAGGAGAGGAGAAGGAGGGGGAGGAGGAAGAAATTGAAATGGATGAGAACTGCTTGTCTGAGAGAAACTGCAAGTAACAAGGGGTCTTGTAGCTGGGGAACAAGTTACTAGTACTAGTACTAGACCTGGCCAATCTAGGCATATGGTTTATAATGAAAATATCTGGATTGTATGTCTTTTATAAGGGGCTTATTAGAGCTGGAAATTCCAACAACAAGGTTGTCATCTAATCTGTCCTATACCTTCATGTCCAGAGGTACACACACACACACAAACACACAAACACACACATATACATACACAAACACACACACACACCACACACACATACATTCTCATATACACATATACAAATACACGCCACATACACACAGTCTCACACACTTGTACACACACACATACCACACACACACACACACACACACACACACACACAGATGGGGGGAAAGGCATGAGTACCGCCCAACTGAATAAATGCAAAACTAACTAAATAAAATAGCATTCTGTGAAGTCGTCTAATGAGAGGAAGGAAGAGCAGCTGAATCCCCACTGAAGACACGGCCTGATTTCTTGTACAATCATGAGGATTTGTGATGGTTATTCTTGGCTGTCAACTTGACTACATGAGGGATTCATTAAAACTCAAATGACTGGGCATGCCTGTGAGAGATTTTTTTATTATTATTTTTGTTTGCTTTGGTTTTTCAAGACAGGGTTTCTTTGTGTAGCAGCCCTGGCTCTGGCTGTCCTGGAACAAACTCTGTAGACCAGGCTGGCCTTGAACTCACAGAGAGCTGCCTGTCTCTGTCTCTTGAGTGCTGGAATTTGTGCACCACCATTTCTGGCTGAGAGTTTTTTTTTTTTTTTCATATTAAATCATTTGATGTGGACTATTTCTGACCTAAATCTTTTCAGATCTTTATGTATTTTAATATGAGGATCAGTCAGGGCTAGTATGTAGAAGAATCTGTCAGCAGGTTAGGGTTCTGGTGCTGACTGTGGGTGGTACTCATCCTCTTAAGGGAAGGACAGCCTAACTGTGGTCAATTTTATGATTAGTGCCTGGTTTGGGGAATTCGATTTTTTTGTTATTTCTTTTTTTACTTTTAAGCAAGATCACAAGGATGCAAAATGAAAACCATGAACCAAGACTGAAAAAAAACAAAAAACACAGGAGTAAAGCAAGAAGGAGCCTTGAGCCACGGGCTCAGGTGTTTCTTTAGAAATTACTTCTAGTGAATGGGAGTCAGCTCAAGACCCTGTGCTGTTCCAAAGGCAGCCACTAGATGGTGCTATGGCCCTGGCATGAAAGAGCCTGGGCAGGACTTGGTACCTGATTCAAAGAAAATAAAACAGGCAAAAGTAGACTCCCCTTTGTGCCAGATTTCTCTGTGAAGATCTGCTCCGCAACACTTGTTTTTCCTGCTCAATAGTTTCAGCCAGAGCCAAGTGGACTGCAAAAAGAATCATAAGGATGAAGGGGATCACTGCTCTGCAGAGCCCTGGGCTGGAAGCCCCTGAAAACACAGTCTTGAACCTCTAAAATCAGAGATCAGGATGAAAGTTGGCTCGGAGGTGATTCCCGGGACTGTTGAGGCAGAAGCTTGGTCCATGGAAAGTAAAAACTAGTGGAACGTTTCAAGATGCAGCAAGCTGGGTATTGCTGATCCCTGGAGAGCCTGTCCAGGGCAATTACACCTCAGAAGTGCTTTATGGCTTTAATAATGTGGTGGGAAATGGGGGTGGCCACTGCTCAGCTGGTGGTGAGGCCGCAGCAGGAAGAGGACTCGGTTGGAGGCAACCAGGGGTCCCTCTGCTAGAAGTCTAGAGCATCTCATAATGTGAAGGTGGAACTGAAGATGAAAGTCTACTTATTAACCAGTGAGTGAGGACAGAAACCAGGTAGCAATGAATTATAGAAACAGTGAAGAGAAACATATGAGTTTACCAGGTACAATGAGGCAGAATGCTTGAGGTAAGAGCTGCCAAAAGGCAGAAGTTCCTCAGAGCCTTGATCACCTCTTATGTGTGTATAGAGCTTCTCTACTTGAGAGGCATATCAGACTAGGGGACGTTTACAGTTGGGGCACAGATGGGGTCTTCCAAACTTAACTCACATCATCTAGGAGTGAAGATAAGTGTTGTTTGGGGGTGATTTCATGCAGTGGCAGCAGCTGGCAGTGTACTGACAAAGCTCTACCTCTACCTCTCAGAGAACAGGCTTCTGCTGCAGCAGCTGCTGCTTCATACAGACTGCAGTTTCTTGCAGAGGTCTCTTGCCTCTTCTGCTGCCCACTGGATCCAAGATAAGGTGTGTCCCCTCACAGTGACATCTCATCTTGTCCCCTTTGTCTTCACAGAAACTGATGTCTAGGGACTAGTTGTTGGTTGGAGGCCAGCTTCGGGCAGGCAAGTCAGTGAGACACATATGGCATGGGCAGCTGTACTGGCTGGATTTGTTAACTTGGCACAAGCTGGAGTTATCACAGAGAAAGGAGCTTCAGTTGAGGAAATGCTTCCATGAGATCCAGCTGTAAGACATTTTCTCAATTAGTGATCAAGACGGGAGGGCCCCTTGTAGGTGGCACCATCCCTGGGCTGGTAATCTTAGGTTCTATAAGAAAGCAAGCTGAGCAAGCCAGAAGAAGCAATCCAGTAAGTAACATCCCTCCATTGCCTCTGCATCAGCTCCTGCCTCCTGCCCTGTGTGAGTTCCAGTCCTGACTTCCTTTGGTGATGAACAGTGGAAGTGTAAGCTGAATAAATCCTTTCCTCCCCAACTTGCTTCTTGGTCATGATGTTTGTGCAGGAATAGAAACCCTAATTAAGACAAATTGGTACCAGCATAGTGGGATATTCCTGTGACAACTTGACCATGTTTTGGGGAGGACTATAGAAGGACTTTGGAACTTTGGGCTAGAAGAGCTATGGGGTGTTAAGAGCTCTGTGGAACGTTTTGTAGGAGCTTGGAAGACAATGTTGAGAACAGTGCAAACAATGGAGGCCTGGCTTGTGAAATTTCAGAAGGAAGATTAAAGACTATTATCAGAGCCATTGTTGTTTTGATTGTGAAGATTCTGTGGTTTTGGTTAGCTGGGGCTGAGGAATCAGCTGTGATTAACAAGATACCAGAACTACTAAAGCAAAACCTTTGCATCACTGGGAGGATTGGTGCTGGTTAGCTGGAGCTAAGAAATTAGTGGTAATTAAGAAGAGACCAGCATCACTGAGGTGAAGTCTTCTGGGAAGTATTTTCTGAGAGCACAAAGAGGCTGTGTTCCAGAGATAGCCAAGGTTGTACCTTGTGCTGTGGCTGGACTTGGTAATGTGTAAGAGTCACCCAGGTGGTACTGGTTTTGAAGGCATGAAGAGGTCATGAAACCCTAAGATAGCAGCTGTGGAGGCTGATAGGCCAGTTCTGTTTCCATTATTTCTCCTGATGCACCTTTTGCCTTGGGTCTTCCCAGGCTGTGCTGTGTCCTCATTCAGAGACTCTCACTGGACCCAGATTCTCACAGAGAAGCCCAAATAGCAGAAGTTATCACAGATCTTGCACATCCAAGACCATCATCCTCAAAGGTAACATTCTACTCCAGAAAGGAATGTCCAGCCCGAAGGCCAGCGCCACACTAATGAGGTGTCAGCACCAGGTAAGCACCATTTTGGACCTTGCATGAGCTTGGAGTCACTCCCTTCCTTGCTCAGGGATTGAGGCATTGTGTTTCTTGGCTGTCAATTCAGTACTCATCTACAGGAACCCCTTAGACACATGGGTGGTCTTAGCCAGAGGACACCCTTGACCTGCTGTCCATTCCTCATGGTGAGTTCTATGGCCCTTGCAGTCCTGTGGCATTTAGACAGGGTCCTATGAGAGGCCTCCAATTCTACCTCAGACAGGGCTCTGACAG